GTAATTGTTGGATTTTGTTATTCGTTACATGCATGTACATGTAGAATTCTAATTGTTATAATGAAAAATAAAAAAAAATTAACATAGGATACACGTGCAACGTACGTGTGCTGAAACTAGTTACAAATAAGCCTTTGAATCAAACTGCTACAACTGCGACCTTTTCTCCCTATTTATAATAGATCTAATCTTTCCACGATATCCTTCTTAATCTGTAACACAACTGTTCCAGTTTGAACATTCATGTGCTTGAATGTAGTCCAGTTCCTAGCCTTCCAAGTAAATAATCTTGTTTGTTATCTTTTACAAGTACATTGGTTTCTTCATAAACAAACATAAATAAGTTGGGATCTTCCTCCATAAATAGCATCCCATCTCTATATCCCTAACACAACTATTAGTACTTCTTTAGTAGCATTAAGCTCTCAAATTTCTTCAAGAAAACATACAAAAATGGCCATCAGAAAATCAAGCAACTTAATCACAAACTGCAGTTTTCAAGCAAATTATGAATAGGTATTCAAATTTGGGTATGCTGAGATTTATATTTGCTAATGAGTCCAACCAACGACCCGACCCCTAAGAGAAACAATCATTTAAAGTAAATAAATTATTAGGAAAATTCATGAGAAACCAAAAATGGATGATAATGCAAAGGACAAAATAGACCTGATCAGTTATATCAAGTACTGTGCTTGCCACAATCGGAATAAACTTATTGTCAACCTGTTGGAGAACTTTGGCACCCTCCGGGAAGTTTTTATTAATGGTATCAGGAACCAATGAATCGCCAAAAAAATGCAAGACGCCAGAAGTGACACTCAGTACAATATACTGATTATTAAAATTCTCAGTTCCAGCACTGTTCTGCATCTCAACAGGAAAAGGTAAAGTTCATCATCTTAACAAAATAGAGAAGAAGCAAAAACATCCAAGATATAGCTAAGGTACTCAACTGTAATCTTTGGAAGTCCCTCCATTTTATCCCAAAAATCTAAGGAACTTTGAATTTTTGTTGGTGCAAATTCTGAAAAATTGACTAAAGAAAAGGTCAGCCATGACAATATTATTACAAGATCAGAACACAAGCAAGATGGAATTTGAAAGAGACTATGTGGCATAGGAGTCTTAGAAAGAGACATTGTAATCTCTAATGCTTCCACGATTAATAAGAATGCAGCCTAAGATAATCTTGAAAAGTGGGTGAAAGAAATGAAGCTAATTAACTGAAACATGCACTAGGAAAATTCAGCTCTTATTCAGATCACGAACAAGTGGCAGGAATGGTTTACCTTCTTTTAACTCCCCATCGCGTGTACATGTGCACTCCCCTTGAGCTTGCAATTTGCTATTCCAGATGTTAATAAGTTCCCTTTTCACACTTGGCCTGAACAGAGAAACATCAGGTCGTGTTCATTACTGGCATATTTAATTAAGATATATCAGAAAGAGACCTAACAACCCTCCCAAGAAATTGGATAACGCTACCTTTCATCAGAGAAGAAACCGTCACCACAACTTGGGGTGGAAGATTGATCACATTGATGGGATGACTGCTGTGGAAGCTCTCAGCAGATAGCTTCTGCAGAATGATGCAGTCTACTAACTGCTATAGTTTCAGCACGAATGAAAAGAACATTAATTAGTTGCACCTGTTCACTGTCATCAATGATTAATAACACAAACAAGCACTCAAGAACAAATTACCAGGCATGAGTGGCACATCATGAACAGTCTTAATACTGTGATTTCCTGCTGCCTTTCTTGTAGACTCACTCGTGGCAAAGAACTTAATTCTTACCTTGGTAAAATGGAGGAACTGAATGAATTCTTCTACCCTCCTTCTTCCTTATAAGCTCATCCGTTTTACCTCGATTTCCAGCATCGATCCATTTATGTGAGTCCCTACCCACCCTAGAGAAGAGCATAGGTCATGGTATCAACTAATTCTTAAGATTCTCTTCACATCTCTTATCCATCAATTTGGGCCTGCATACCTTCACCGTGTATACATCGTGATAGCTTGAATGAACTATCACTTGCATTCAATTTTTAAGGGAACTCAGATGAATCCCTAACCCACTGAACAATAGTGGCAACAGAGAACGAGAAGCACGTAGACAAAACAGGTCATCCTCACTGCATGCAAATAAAAAAAAATCTAAGAAACCATACAGGAAATATCCTCAAGTTAACTGGTTTATCAAATATGGACCTTTCGATAACAACAATTTTGAAGAAGACACTGGGATGCACAAGGGTGATTCTCAGAAGAGACTCTTTGAGAGAATGCAAGACCCTCTTTGTGCCTCGGACAGAGTACAGCTTAAGAAATTATGTAGATCATATGTTTTACTTGTTTGAGTTTGAGGAAAACAAGAAGTACCTGGAGAGCATTTGTTTCCTTAAAACTGATTGGTTGTAAAAGCACTGGAAATAGTTCCCGTGAAACTCCTCTTGCATATTAGCACTAGATTAGGCATAGGCATTGCCAAAGAAGAAAATAACCATTAAAGTGGAAGATTCACATGACATTGTAAACTCTTGAGCATAATAAACCACTAAAGCAAAAGAATATCAATTACATTGTTGAATGTCAATCAAGAAACATCAAGAAGTCAAATTCTATAACATAAATCCCTAAAGAACACTTGAGACAATTAAAATACTATAGGCATCTTAAGAAAATCTTGAAATAGCAGTACGAAAATCCATCAAAAAAAGAAGAGAGGAAGCTTACTTTAAGATGAGGGCAACACACACACACACTGATCATCAAAAATAAATAATACCATCCAATCTTATAGCAACAGGCATTCAACTCATAATATTTTTCAATTTTTATTTATCCTTTCTAGATTGCAACTTGATAACGTATCTAAAGTTAATAAAATATACATTAATAAAAGGAAAAATGTACACAAATCTAAACTAATCCAGTCAAAAATTGTATCACTAACCTGATATTTTTCGAACATATAAAGTTTTTACTTAAATAATAACAGCGGAACTTGAAAAATATATATTTAAACTATTACGATAACATACTTAGTATAGTCTCATAAGTGGAATCTAGAAAAGATCTCATGATCAATATTAGTTTCATAAATCAAATCTACAATGGTTGGATATACGCAGATCTTATCCCAAAAAAATTCAATATTAGTGATTTAAATACGCAATCGAATGGCATTGGCATATTTGTGAAACTTGACAATGACATTGAGTATAGTAAACTGGAGTCAACAATGACAAAGAAAATAACTAGAGCAAAATATACAAGCATGTAGTGAATATAAGATGGTTACTAAAAATGTTAGGCACATGACAAAGCAATTGGAGAATATTAATGCACTATGCGTGTATATGTAGCTTTGTATAGGCTACATATTGAATAATTTTGAAATTGTGGATATGATTATAGGCTAAGTTGACATTTGTAAAGGACAATTTGCACAAAATATAGTGTCAAAACATTATAAGTTAGAACATACTGAAATTTAATATTTTTCTAAGTACATGGACTAAAAAATTACAAGGACTAAGGAATCTTTGTATTGTAACTCTAATAAAACGGATTAAACATAATCGGTAGAATCTGTAAAGAGTCTGTAAAGAGGGCGATGATATCAAAGCAAAACTCACCCTACCATTACAAGATAGAATCTGTAGTTCACCGTACAAATCCTGTGCCTTCAAATAGAACCTCTAATAAGAATGAAAACAGAACTGCATGAAGAATGATCCTGGAAGTCAATATGGATTGGATCGGGTATCCAGAGGAAGACTTTGGAACTTGAATAAAAACTCAACTTGGAATTTAAAATTCTGGGTTTACAAAAAGCCTTCCTTTAAGAACAAGGAATCCCAACTAGCTTTGCACATTTGATAATAATACTTTATATACAAGAACTCACAAAAAAAAATAAAAATGAAAGAAATAGACCGCTGAGATCACAAGCTCAAGGCTCTTGCGGGAGCCTCGTCTAATTCTTCTTTTGTTACTTCCTTCTTTTCCTGAAATAAATAGCCAACTTACTCAAGAAATTTACACTTTGCAATCCTTCTAGAGAGCATGGAAAATCTAGAGCAAATAGTTCTTTGATTCACACATTTCTTGGCCAAGATTTGGTATGTTCATACAAATACAACTGACGATCATAATAACGTTCCTGATAGGAAACAAAATACTTATATACAAAAAGAAAGATCATATGTGTGATGGAGGAGATAGATGACACAGTAATGATTTAGGTAATTACACATCTCATTATTTTGGTCCAGAAAAAAATCATATTTAATTTTCAAGTGTCTTTAGATCTTCTATTTTGATTATAGACAAAACATATAATATCAGCGCAAATCATTCACCTCTCAAATGCACACTCAATTGTTGAAGCATCAAGGTGAAAGAGAAATTTGATTATAATGGGCAAAACAAGCTTCTTAACAGTTTACACTTCTATAATGATACAACATGAGTTTCTGGAGGTTCAAATACCAGAGTTGGGTACTGGTGTGGGTAATATAATGATCAATACTCACACAATTCTCTCTCATTGAAGTGAAGAGAGAAACAAGTTTTCCTTTGGATGATAAAAAAAGAGAGAGCAAACTGTTCGTATCACTAAGTCGTCAAACATAACCTAAAGGTGACTACACATCGAAGGCAAATTATAATAAAACTAGCCAAATGGAACATCTAAACAGCTTGAATAATATTAGATTATTAAGGTCAATCCTAGACAAGGATTTCTATAATTGATAGGGACTACTTCTGCAGATACTCAGATATATACTATGACGGGTTGATGGCAAGTTGTCTAAAATGCTTATCTATGAAAAGAGACAGACCATTGTCATTGTTGACCCGTAAGAGGGGAAATATTCTCCAGCCCACTGCTACCACAAAGAACCTTTGCTCCACATCCAACTGTATCAGCTGTTCTAACTTCCGACAGCCTCTTCATCAAACAAGATCTATAAAATAAAAAAACCTACAACCATTTTAGTAGGGTCAATAAGAAGCTCCTAGTCCAAATACAGGAATAGCAAGAGTATAAGAAACAACAAATCAGAAAAAGTCGAAACATTTCACAGCCAATTCATAAATATAACCGGCTGCATCATCAAGCTGCAGCAATACTGAGCTGGATAATTCCCTTCAAGTTTCAATATCAAGTTAAAACCCCTCTTTGTTTAACTCATTTAGCAAATAAGAAGATGCCATGAATCTGTAGTTGTTCCCTCTTTGTTTAACTTATTTACCAAATAAGAAGATGCCATGTATCTGTAGTCCTTGTCCTTGCCTGTCATCAGCAAAATGGAGTCAAGTCAAGTCAAATTGCACAAATGGATGGCGCAACAGAGGAGAGATGGCTTGCAGCATCAAATAATAATTAAGATTTTCTTCACTATGAAAAGTATACGTGACAAATCATCACCATTATAATAGAATCCAGAAGGACCTGAACTACTAAGTTCACCCGATCAAGTCCCCCACACTATAAATATCCTCCTTAGAACAAGCATTAAAATTGGGATCAAATTTTGCCGGATTTGGGAACAAGCAGTCCTCTTTTCAATATTATATATGGCAGGAATTCCAAAATCATATGTGAGAACAACTTCATGTTTAACAGAAGTTTCTATACCATTTTCAGGCTTTAGCAATGTTAAGGATTAACATCTTGAAACTTTGTCCCGAGCAAAGTATCTGGTGAAAGAGGAGATGGTTCTGGACCACAAAACGGCAGTCCAGAACCATAATTTTCAGTCTGTTTAAAGAGGTCCATAAGATGATCGTCTTCATCTAACATGACCTTGGTTAATGAAGATTTTTCTGAATCTCCTGAAAAATTTTGACCTCATTAGTCATACTACGCCCAAAATACACTCAAACATTAGACTAAAGGCCAAATACAAAGAATCTGTATAATCAAAAAAACAATCATTTTCTTTGGAAATAAATGCAAAAGAATCTGGTTAGCTACTGAAGTATGTCCTTAAACATGAATGATGTGATAAATAGTTTTCCAAATTAAGTTAAAAGCTATTTGAGTTTCAAGTCCTCATAATTCGAGAAGAGAGAACCTCTACCATTAACTTGCTACTGATGGTATTAGAACAAGAAAAATTCATTCCTAAGAAGTAACAATTCATAATTCACTTGCTATAATCAACCTAATTAAAACATACAATGAACCTTAAGAGACAATGCACACAAACGAAACTTGAAATCCTTAGACCCTCAAAAATCCTTCTTGCTGTCAACAAGATGGAGCACAGAACTGACAAAAACTGTGCTATTGATACCTCAGAATGAACTAACAACCCTGAGAAAAAGTGCTTGTCATGCTTTGTTTTCCATATCTAGGCAGGCATATAATCCTTCAGAGGAAGGAATATGAATGTTGAAGAGAATAAGATATAAGTATTGTAAAAGGTCTGAGAATGTAGGTGAGCAACCAATCCTGTATTAACAACTACAGTACCTTTCTCTTTCAAAGACTGATTTGCAAATGGTTCGCATGTACTTGCACTTTTTGAATGTATCCCTAAAAGAATCAATCGTTAAAAAAATGCATTTATAAGGAATTCACAAGAACCAAAAATGGCCATCATGGACTATGCAGAGACCAGAACAGACCTGATTAATTATAGGAAGTGTGGTGCCCGCCACAATTGAAATAAACTTCTTATCAACCTGTTGGAGAACTTTGGCAGTTTTTATCAATGGTATCAGGAACCAATGAATCACCAACAAAATGCAAGACGCCAGAAGTGACATTGAGCACAGTATCTCATACTGAAAAGGGCAAAAAAGTCCAGTTCTTAAGATTCCTGTTCAAGTTCTGCTCTGCATCACATACTGAAAAGGGTAAAAGTCCATCATCTTAGAAGGAGAGAGAAGAAGTTGCAAAAACATCTGAGATATAGCTAAGGTAACTCAACTGTAATCTCTGGACGGAAGTCTCTCCATTCTGTCCCACAATTAAGAAACTTCGAGCTTTTGTGGTTCAAATTCTGAAATTTTGAATAAAAAATGTCAGTCATGACTCATGTCAATTCTATAATAAGATCAGTACATAAGCAAGATGGTTGAAAGAGACTATGGGTCCTAGGGAACTTAAAAAGACACATGGTGATCTCTAATGCTTTTATGATTGAATGCAGTCTGGGATAATCTTGAAAAAATGGGTGAAAGAAATGACACTAATTAACTGCAACATGCACTAGAAAAATTTAGCTCTTATTCAGGTCAGGAACAAATGGCAGGAATTACCTTCTTTCGACTCCCCATCGTGTGAAGTTGTGCACTCCCCTCAAGCTTGTACTTTATTATTCCAAATGCTAACTAGTTTCATTAGAAACACCAGGTCGTGTGGGTTACTAAAATATCTGATTGAGATAATATCAGAAAGAGAACTAACCCTTCCAAGAACGTTGATAACATGACCTTTCATCAGAGAATACACCGTCACCACAACTTGGGGTGGAGGATTTACCAAATTGATGGAATGACTGCTGTGGAAACTCCAAGCAGATAGCTTCTGCAAAATGATGCAGTCTCCTTACAGCTCTAGTTTCTGCACGATGGAAACGAACATTAATTAGTTGCCCACATTTCCTGTCATCATTGATCATTAATACAAACAAGCACTCAAGGACAAATTACCTGGCATGAGTGGCACATAACGAACAGTCTTGATACTTTTATTTGCTGCTGCTGTTCTTGAAGACTAGCTTGTGGCAAAGAATTTCTTGCCCGAGGAGCTGAAATGACTTCTTCTACTCTTCTCCATCATTATAATCTCATCTGTTTTACCTTGATTTCCAGCATGAATCCATTTATGCGAGTCCCCATCCCATCCTAGAGGAGAGCATAGCTTGTGGTATCAAAATAATAATTAAGATTTTCTTCACTATGAGAATGTATATGTGACAAATCATCACCATTATAATAGAATTCAGAAGGATCTGAACTATTAACGTCACCCGATCAAGTCCCCTACACTGTACATATCATCTGTAGAACTAGCACTAAAATTGAGATCAAACTTCGCAAGTTTTAGGAACAAGCAGTCCTCTTTTCCATATTATTTATGGCAGGAATTCCAAAATTATACGTGATAACAACTTCATATTTAACAGAAGTTTCTATACCATTTTCAACAATGTTTAGGATTAACACCTTAAACTTGGTCCCGATCTGAGCAAAGCATCTGGTGACGGAGGAGATGGTTCTGGACTACAAAACGGCAGGCCAGATTCATATTTTTCCGTCTGTTTAAAAAGGTCCATAAGATGACCGTCTTCAACTAAAATGACCTTGATTAATGAAGATTTTATCTCCTAACAAAGTTTGACCACATTAGTTAGACTAACGCCCGCCCGAAATACACAGAACCTGTATTATCAAGAAAACAACCATTTTCTTGTGAAACACATGCAAAAGAATCTTGTTAGATACTGGAGTATTTCCTTAAACATGAATGATGTTATAAATAGTTTTCCAAATTCTGTTGGAAGCTATTTGAGTTTCAAGTACTCATAATTCAAAAAAGAGAGAACCTCTACCATTGACTTGTATGGTATTAGAACAAAAAAAGCTCCTCCCTTGGAAGTCACAATTCATAATTCACTTGCTATAAATCAACCCAATTTAAAACATAAAATGGCCCTT